TGAGAAACTATTTTGTAGATAGCAATATGTAAAACAATAACCATTGATAATTTCCTACCATTTTGTCTGTAATTTGGTAAGTCCCCCCTATTATTATTTTATCCTTCTTTTACTCTTTAAAGTAAAAAAAAAAAAAAAAAAAGAAACACCCAGCCTGAGGGAGAAGGGGTGGGGAAGATACTCCATGTAAACAGAAACCAGAGAACACAAGCAGCTCTGAATGGACCGTAAGTTAAGAACTGTAAGAAGAGTCACAGAGGTGATGATGTGAAGACCAGGGTGTCAGCTCCTTGGAAAGGTGTGGCAACTGCAAATATATATGCACCCAATACCAGAGCAGATGAATATACAAAGAAAACAGTAATAGATCCGAAGGCAGAGATGGATTAATACAATAATAGCAGGCAATTTTTTTCTTTTTGTTTTCAGCGGGTAGGTGGGAAAGTGTCTGGCTATGCAGTTCAGACTGGCCTGAACTACACTTTGGACTAAATGGGCCTAACAGATGTGTACAGAACCTTCCTTCCCGCAGCAGCAGAGCGTACGTGTGCTCCCTCAGGTGCACCTGGGACTTCCCTGGGACACACTCTGAGTCAGGCCTTCCAAGTAGTTTTCTCGGTCTGTCTTGTTCTGCTTCATGGGACACCACAGGTAATCTACAGTGGACAGAACTGGATTGGCTCATACCATGGTCTGGAGAGTTGGTTGGAAGTCTGAGGAGGGCCTCCTCAGACTTCCAACCTCATCCTGTAGCAGAAGGATGGACAGAGGGCAACAGGACAGGGGCTACTAGGGCTGATTCCAGCCAGGCCGCGAACTCACTCCCACGCTCATGGTGGTAACCCATTCATGACAGCGGGGACCTCATGCCTGCCTACAACTTCAAGATGTCACTTCTTACCACTCTTCATGTAGCATACATTCAAAATATAGCACAAGGGCCAGGGATATAGCTCAGCGGCACAAGTGCCTGCCTGGCAAGCCCAAGGTCCTGAGTTCGATTCCCAGCAGCAACAACAACAACAACAACAAAATCAAACTATAGCACAAGTCTAAAAAAAATTTAAGACAAATGATCTCAGGCCTCTTTTCCAACCACTACGGTATGAAACTAGAAATCAATAAGGAAGACTGAATTTCTCATAAATCTGTGGAAATTCAACAATGTGCTTGAACAATCCATGTTTTAATGAAGGAATCAAAAGACAAAGTAAAAAAAGTATTTCATTATAAAAAATATATACACTATATCAAGGCTTATGGTATGCAGTAAAAGTACTTCTAACAGGGAAAGTTACAGAAATAAAAAGCTATGTGACGAAGAATAATGTTCTCAAATAAACAACCTAACTTTACACCTCAAGGAGATTGAAAAACAAAGCTCAGAGCTAATACAGGGAAATACATAATAAAGATCAGAGAAGAAATAAATGAAATAGAGAGTACAAAAATAACAGAAAACAATCAAGAAGACAGTTCTTTGAAGATAAGTCAACAAATCTTTAGCTAGACTAGCCAAGCAAGAAAAGAAGACTCAACCAAAATCAGAAGTGAAAGAGAAGAACTGATAACTGATAACAGAGAAAT